AAGTACGATGACATACTTTAATTGAATTCCAGGTCAAAATGGAAATACCGACATCTCACTGTCAGCAGATGTCAAAATAACTATAAGTTATCAAGAATACTCATAAAATTGAGCGCAAAAAGAAAACATTCGGCTCCGCATACTTCTCATCGATTTTTGGCTCCAAAGAAGAGAGCTGTACTCTGCGCAGTCGAAATGGCGTAGAGCACAGTTCTAGTACTATCCTCATCCAAAGTAAAAACGATGGTTTAGTGTTCCCGAGACATGCAAGTGCTAAGGGAATCCGAGATCATAAGCGATTGAAGATGAGCGTTACCGCATTTACCAAACGAAATAAGGTCTCTAACCATAACAACAAACACGTCAGGCGATTCCACGATGAACACTAAAGCGGAGCGGTTTTAACTGCATTTTTCGGGACATCGAGTACCCTAATACGAGATTGTTTTGATGAGCTGACTACACAAATCTTTGTATGGACGACGAGTTAGTACTTGTCCTCGTGTGAGGAGATTTCCCTAGGCTTCGCGACTTGGACAGATCACTGACACCCGCTTGAATAGTGAAAAACAAGACGACAGGCTAGCAGCAAGCTTCTGCTGGTCACCCTATTGAAACCAAGTTTTCAGACATTGTTCTCCCGAATCTTGAATGAATGCACATTTAACGAGCTTTCTTTTGTATTTCCTTTTCATTCGATGTAATTGACGGAATGTTAACCAACTAATAGTAGCATCTTCAACCCTGTAATCTGCACTGATATCATAAGAACTGAATTTGGACAGAATTTTCATGATAAGATAGTATGTCACCTCTTAAATCATTCTATTGCCTTAAAGGATCAGAATCGTCACTCACTTGCAAACTGTACATGGATTCTTTCGAATTTTGGATGAGCCCGGTATTCTGCCTGGTTCTAACATTCCAAAACGTCGTTTTCGACCTGGCCGTTCTTTACTTTTCTCAATCGAAGACTCTGCTTTTGTGGACCTGAATTCAAGATAAATTTATGTTACACACACATGTTGACTATAACCTCCATATCTCTTTGGGAACGGGTCACACGGATAATAAAATTGACTGAGAGTGAGCCCATAAGTTACTTAATCGACTGTTCTTTTGATCTTCCTAACGACCCCACATTAAAATGGGACAATGATGGAGAAATTCGAAAGCAACAGTCGACCGCAGACAAATTCAATGTCGATGCGAAATCTGGAAGTTATATGCAAGACCCTTACATTGTGTCATTATGATCGTAGCAGACGCTCCCACGTCTCCGATGTGCAAAGTACTTATGCCCTTCGACCAAGGAGCTGAAATGATTCATACCGTAGTACACATTAAACGACAATTGGAATTCAAAAAAAAAAAGAATACAAACCTGCAAAACGTGCACATTATTTGACACTGGCCAGATTCTACAGAAGCATTTAGCGATTCTTGCACGTCAAATTTGAACACGGGTTCAGTCTCCATGACAGATTCGTGTCGTCGCTTTCTGTGAACAGCAACATTATGTTAAGGAATAATAGACAGTAGCTTATCACTGTGAAACTACTAATGACACTAACTTCATCCAATTCTTGACCCATGTTACTGCGTCCTCATCTGGCAAGTGGCATATCATGACATGAAGAAGTCGTAGAACATTATCAGTAACACCACTCTTCAAACGTTTGCAATCGTTTGCTGCATCCAAATCGGACACTTGGCGCTCCACTGAAAATATATTGTAAATACCAAGATATCATGATACAACTATTACATTAGTCCTACGAAAATATTACAAGCACCAGTTGGCGCCGCCACGCGTTGCGCGCACAGCACAGTTTTGCAGCGATATGGGGTGGTGCGGCGTAAATTCTCGAACAATGGCAGTTGACCTCCCTTTCGTTGACGGACTCAGTTCACCTTTTTCCCGGTCTCCAGGACCTCTTGGAACCGAGTTATGAATTTTCGTTGATAACTCCGCCCACTTTGAACATGCCCCGCCCACCGATGACAGCTGGCCTCCACTCCTCCAACCCACCTCCCTCCACCTTTTCCCAGTCTCCTGGACTTCAAGGAACCGAGTTATGAACTTTCGTCGCAAACTCCGCCCACTTTGGTCGAGCCACGCCCACCACCAATAGCTGGCCTCCACTCCTCCACCCACCTCCACCCACCTTTTTCCCGGCCTCCGGGACTTCTTGGAGCCAAGTTATGAATTTTCGTCGCAAACTCCGCCCACTTTGGTCAAGCCCCGCCCACGAAGGGCTGGCCTCCACTCCTCCACCCACCTCCATCCACCTTTTTCCCGGCTCCGGGACTTCTTGGAGCAATGTTTATGAATTTTCGTCGCAAACTCCGCCCACTTTGGTCAAGCCCCGCCCACCGATGACAGCTGGCCTCCACTCCTCCATACACCTCTATCCACCTTTTTCCGGCTCTTTAAGACTTCCCCGACCCGAATTATGAGGGCTTGTAGAAAATGCTGTACACTTCAGAGCGCGCCCCGCCCATTCTGGGCGGGCCTCCGCCCACGTCATGTATGCAGGAAACACCTTAGACATTGCTCCCTTACACCAAATTGTTTTCTGCTCTGTAGGCTTTCTCCCAACCGAGTTATGAAATTTTTCATAAAGCACTGCTTTTTTAGAGAACGCCCCGCCCACCGGGGGTGGGTCTCCCTAATTCGATGTGACTTACCAATGCACACCTTTACCCACTTTTTGGCCCAGTTTCGAGGTCGTTTTGTCACTGAAATCGAAATCTTGGTCTTCGGTACAAGTTCATTTCGACGCACGCCACGCCCTCTGTGGGCGGGGCTCCGCTTAGCTGATGTGTGTTTTGTATTTCGTGAGACCTTGCCCACCCATTCCACACTTGACCCGGTCCCTCCAGGCGGATCCCGAGGAGCTAGGGAATTTCGTGACAGACATACAGACAGACAGACGACAGACGACAGACGAAGCGCTTTATAGTTAGTAGGATGATTGCGATCAAAGGAATACTTACAGGCGCAAATGCTCATTCTTGGTTATATTACGGGTGAAAATTCTTTACCTAAGACATTGTTCCAAAAGGAGATAAAGATGAATAATTATCGAAGACAATAAGAAATCTCTCGGCCGGTTTGAAGACCCAAATGCTGCCTTTAAAACGTTGACGACAACGCGCGTTTTGGGTTTTGCGCCTCGTAGGACCAGAGCGATTTTCCGGGCGCCGCCGCCTCACATCAAACCATGAATTTGGGTTGTAAATACGGAGAGCTTGGATGCGATGAAATTTTTTAAATAATATTCGATCAGGTAAACTTATCGAAACGACAATTGAAGTTTGATCGATATGAAAAGGCCAATGAAAAGACAATTTAGGTTGTTTTTGCTGTAATGAACCTCAGAATTATTTTAAAAGCAGTTGCTTCACTGGAAGTATATATCATGCAATACGTAGAGAACTGCACATTCTTCTGCTGCTCTTTTTGTATTTATTTTCAAGAGAATACAAAAGAAATGGGGAATGAACCGAACTGAAGAACATGTAGAAGTTAGAAAAACTTTGCTAAAGTAAGAATAGAAACCTTTCGGTCAACCATACCGTTTGTGGTCACGTTGTGATGAGATCTAAAAATAAATGCAAAAAATCAGAAAAGAAGTAGGGCATGCGCGAAAAAATAAACAATTTTGGTGTGAAGCGCATGCGCTGCACACGGTCCCACACGGTGCTCAAAGTGTGCAGCGCATGCGTTGCACGCTGCCGTCAAGCGTGTTAAATTATGAACTTGTTTACCCAGTATAAGCGCTAGTAAATGCTTAGAACAGCAATCATGAAGAGGATTCGGGAGGAGAAAGATGACATTATCATAGAACTCAAGAGTAATGCATTTCTGTGGGATGATGCCAGGAAATGCTTGGAACAGCAGTTATGAGAAGATTCAAAAGGAAAAAGCTGAATTATAGAACTTACGAGTAATGCTTTTCCGTTGGATGATACCGCTTCGCATGCTGTTCCAGCTCGTAAGGAGAATGAAACCCACGATCGCATTTAACGCACTGAAGGCATAACTCAGTGCTAGTAGCGGAATTAGCAAAAGACTTTTTTACATCCAGAAAAGGGAATTCCTCCGCAAGTTTTTCCGTTTCTCTGAAATATGAGTCCTATCCTTTCTTTGTGCAAAAAAAGTCCCACGAAACTAACCCAAGTTTCAATGCAATGTCGTAAGCTTCTTTATCTGTAGCATGATGGGATATCATGTGAGCAATTTGAGTGACGGCATTTGGATACTTGAAGCTTGGACGCCACGCAGAGACACAAGTCGGCAGAGGGCACTTTATCCTAGAATAGTGAATATAATTGAATTCATGACTTATGGAAGTAGTTCACAATGAAATATCATGTGAGCTATGTGATAAATGGAGTCGGAACAAGAAAATTTCCGTAGAGTGTGCTAATAAATCATTTTAAAGCGATAATTCTTTACAATGAATTTCCAAGTGGGAAGCAAAAGAAAAATTCAAAGAAAATGAACGAACGCTTCATGTTTTCCTCGGCGCTTAGGGAGCTTTCCAACCGTTGAAGGCGACTCAAGTACCGATCTTCCTTCACGGAGATCTTTGCGATATCGCCCACAAACATTGACGCAACAGGCCCAATGAACACGTAGATTAGCTATTCTGTCGAACGATGCCTTCTCACATGAGGAGCATAGCAACCAGCCGTCCTGAAAACTCCTTATTTTCGTCCACGGAGGACATCATTCGCGAAGCGACAACACGAGTATTAATATGACTATATGTATATGAGTGGTGAATCCAGACCACTTATAGTTACAGATGCACTTTTTTGGATTTCTAACGAATTGATTATCCAGGTACACGTACATTTTCTTCCCCTCCTTTAATTTTAGAACACTTCTTTACTATATGTTAAACTTCAAAGCCCTCCCTAATTGTTTTTGGTGACTGCCTTCCTCTTCTCCTGCCAAAAACTTTTTGATGCCAGCGAGCGAGTATGTGGTTGTACGTCCACTGGTGACTCGAGTACCAATCACACCTCACAATGATCTTTTCACTACCGCCCACAAACATTAGAACGCGGCGGACAACAAGAGGTCATTCATCGCTCATTATCAGTGCTTCTATATGTTTTTTTCTAGTGCCGAGTACCCCACCTATCCTTGTGTGAATGTAATCGGCCTACTCATATGTATGTCTGTTTGCCTGTTTGTCACGGAAT